GATTTTACTACTAATGAGCTTGAGGCTGTCTTTGTCAACAGTCTTATCATTTGTGGAAAATGACAGTTTTATTTCTTCCTTCCTGATTTTTATAACATCAATTCCTTGGGTTATCTGGAGCTTTTCCTGCTGACTTAAACAGACAATGGTAAGCGTCTTAATTCTGATTTTAAAAAGAGTGTGTCTGCATGGGGATATGAAATACAGTTTAGGGAATATAATCAATAATGTTGTAAAGATTATGTAGGGTGTCAGATGGGGAGAACACTTCATAGACTGTGTAGATGCCTGACCACTGTGCTATAACACCTGAAGCTGAAGTAGAATAATACTGAATGTAAACTATAATTAAATATATATATATATATATATAGTCAGTCATGAGAGGTGGAGTACAACATAGGGAATAGAGTCAATGGAATTGTAATAGCTATATACGATGTCAGAGGGGTAGTAGATTGGGGGTTTATCACTTTGTGAGGGGTATAAATGTCTAACTATTACATTGCTTTGCATACTTGAAACTAAAAGAAAATTTTTCTTTTAATGTAGACTTTAAAGCTAAAAAACAAAAAGAGCGTGCCTGTGTTCTATCACTGAACATGATGTAGGCTTTGGCAGGTATTATTATCAGTTTAAAAAGTTTCCCCACTATTCTTAATAACAACAGTTTTGCTTTTGTTTTTATCATAAGTGTTTGATTTTATTGAATGCTTTTTTCTGTATCTAGGGAGATGTTGTGAATAAGGTTATTGCATTTTCTAACGTTAAATGACCCGTGCATTCCTGCAGAAACCTAACTTAGTCGCCCCAGGCAATGCTGCTAACTGTCCTTCAGTAGCCATTCTCAGCTTCTTTTAATAACACAGCTCCAAGACTTGTAGCCAGCCAGCTCCTCCAACTAAAGACCATGTTTCTGTCTCCCTTACAGCAGGGTGTGGACCTATGACCAAGTTTGGGAGACAGGGGTTGAATGGAAGTGATATGTGCATGTGATCTCCTTGAAGGCTAGGCCGTTTGTCCTGTGCACCTTTTTTCCTTCTCCCTACTGGCTAGGAAATAGAAATGCTGGCCAATCCTGGGTGTGGGGGGATGGAAGGTCAGGACCACTCCCCTCTGGATAGTAGAGAGACATATACTTTGTCTTCTTGAAAGCACTGTATTATAGGGTCTCTCTGTTATAACAGCTTAAATTCTGTCCTAACGAATGCAGTCATGATGGTTGCCTTTTATATACTGCTAGCTTCAAATTGCCAAAATGGGGGGTGGGGTGGGGGTGGGGTACCCATGTTCATCAGTGAGATTGGCCAGCAATTTTTCTTTTTTTTCTTTTCTTTCTTTTTTTTTCTTCTTTTTTTTTGGAGGGAGGATAGGTATCAAGGTTATGCTAGTTTCATTGAAATAGTTGGCACTATTATCTCTTTTTCTATTTTTAGAGAAGTTGGGATAATATAGAATTATCTCTTCCCTGAATATTTTATAACATTTATAAAGCCATCTGGGCCTGGATTGGGAATTATGCGAAAGGAGGGAGAGGTAGATTTTAAACTATTAGTTCATTTTCTCATGGATATAAAACCACCTGGAATTTCTATTATTTCTTAGTCATATTTTATATTTTTTCTAGAAATATTTTATATTGTTTTTCTATTTTGCTTGGGTTTTTTAATTCATTGATATAAAGCTATTCATAGTATTATCATACATCTTTTTAAATTTCTTTTTTTTAATTTGTTACATTCCTTCTTTTCATCCTATATTAATTATTTTTGCCTCCAACATTTGTTTTTATTTGCTCCCCAAACTTGTTCATTGTATTAATCTTTTCAAAGAACCAACTTTTGGCCTTGCTAATTCTTTCTACTATACAATTTTTTCCATTTATTTAAAGTCTGTTCTTATCTTTATTATGTCCTTTTTTCTTTTTCCTTTGGGTTTCTTCTATTGTTCTTACTTTATTTCTCAGTTTTGAATACTTATTTTATGAATTTTCAACCTTGTTTTGTTCCTAATAGAGGCTCTTAAGACTATTAATTTTCCTCAAATACTACTTTAGTTGCAACCTACAGGTTTTTTAAAAAATTGTGGCAAAATATACATAACCAAATTCACCACAACTTACAATTTTGATATGTACTATTTTATTATGTTTTAGTTCTAAGTATTTTAACTTTTCATTATTATTTTTTGATCAATGGGTTATTTGAAAGTGTGTTATTATTTTTCAGATGTTGAGAAATGGGATCATAATCTTTTTACTGTTTTTTTTTAATGATATTGTGGTAAAAAAAAACTTGGCCTGATTCTTTTAAATTTGTTGAGACTTGCTTTATGTATGACCTAGTATGGGGTTCATTTTTTTCATAAATGTGTAGATAGTCAGTGTTCCATAAATGTCTAATAAAATCAAAGATGTTAACTGTGCTCAAATCTTTTATATCATTAAAAATGATTTTCATTTGTCTTGCTGGCTCTATCAGCTACTGAGAAAGGTTTGTTAATCTCCCACCATGATGATGAATTTGTCAATTCTCCTTGTAATTTGGTCACCTTTAGTTTTTGCTTTATAAATCTTTAGGCTCTGTCATTAAAAGGGTACTACTTTAGAATGATCATAGCCTTCTAAAAATTGTAATGTTTTATTAAAACAGAAGCCAGCATGTTCTAAGTCCTTTTTATATTTTAAGATTTGGCAAAGAGCTGGCACTTAATAAATTGTTATAGAAACAAGAGCTTTAAAAAAAAAAAAGGAAGCCCCTGGGTGTGAGGGTGCTCTCAGGGTCTCTGGTAGACCCCCTGGAAGGTGGATTGGGAGCCTGTTTGAACAGAGGTCCACTCTGCCTTGGTTCAGTCCCACGCTCAGTGTCACAACCAAGAGAGGTGTCAGAAGAGGAGTGGCCAGCTCCAGGCACTCCCCAGTGGCTAGAGTCTGGTCCCCAGCCTGGCAGAGTCTTCCCAGAGTGACTGGGCTCTGAGGTCAATTCCTGGGGGGCTGATTCAGACAGCTGCCGCTGATTGTTCCTTAGATGGCCTTGGGTGACACTTCACTTCAGTCACCTCCCCCTTCCTGTGGGAGGAGCAAACTCAAGCCCAAAATTTCCATGGGGCCAATTCAGGGCTCAGAGCGGGGATTTTCTCCTAAAAGATCCCCATGAAGCCCTGGATGCAGGGTGCCAGTCCCTGTCTCATCAAGGGCTTTCCTTCTGCCCCTGGGTCAGCTGTTGTGCCCCAGACACACCCAGAAACCAAGCACAACCAGGCTCCTACTGCCCCCACTTTCAGGCTCCAGGGAGCTCTCCCTGCGGCCACCACAGGCCACCCTCTGAATGACGGATTGACAAGAGCTGCTCCTCCCAGTCCCTGTGCAGGCGCACCTTCCTCTTCTTCTCCTTTATACACCTGCTCCTCAGGACACGGTCTTGGCCTTTCCCTTTACAGCCACAGGGCCATCTCAGCAAACCATGGCTCCCATCACCATCCCTGAGGCCTGCTGGAGATCCCCTCATCCCCACCCTGCACACCCATTGGCCCCTTGAACTCAACAATCTTCCCCACCTCCCATCCCAATATGACACAACCATCCCACTGGGACCTAGACAGAAAACTTTTGTTAAAAAGTTTCTTGTGGGCCGGCCGAGTGACACGTTGGTTAAGAGCTGGCTTGGGACGCCAGAGGACCCCAGTTCGGATCCCACATGAGGGCCAGTGACACTGCCCTCTACAGCTAAGATGCTGAACAACAGCTCAACCTGGAGCTGGGCTGCCGTGAGTCGCAGGTGACGGCATAGGCTGCAGCCCCTGCTGCAGTGGGCTGCCATAAGATACCGTGTGTGGCCAGCAGCCAGCGTGAGCGGCCAGCAGCCGGTGTGAGCTGCCAAGAGCCACCGTGAGCAGCCGTCCAGAGGCCGGCGACTGATCTGCCTCACCTGGGAAGAGAGCAATGATAATACCAACATGGGCCAGTGAAGCGACGTCCTCCACAACTAGACTGAAGAACAAAAGGACAGCAACTTGTCTGTTCCCCTTCCCCAGACTCCCCAGCACTGTTCCCCTCCCCCAATTCCCCAATAAAATCTTTTTAAAAAAAGTTTCTTGTAACATTTTAATATTTTCATATTATCTTTGAATGAAGAATACATTCACATGGTCCAAAATTCAAAAGGTACAAAAGACCCTATCATGACAAGTCAGCCTGCCAGCCCATCTCCCAGCCACCCAGGCCACTCTTAGGAGGCCACCTCCTTTGCCAGTTTCTTGTGTCCCTTCATAGATATTCCAGCAGAAGAAAGCATTCCTTGTTTCCTTTCTCTCACCCCAAAAGGGAGCACACGATGCCAGGTGTCCTGCACAGGGCTGGTTTCCATTTGCTATTTACCTTGAAGTTTGTTCCGTATTCATTCACACAGAGCTTCCTCTTTTATTTTATTTATTTATTTTTATTTTTTTTTTATTTTTACTGGGGAATAGTGCCTTTTTCCCGGACCCATCAGCTCCAAGTCAAGTCGTTGTCTTCAATCTAGTTGTGGAGGGCACAGCTCACTGACCCGTGTGGGGATTGAACCGGCAACTTTGGTGTTATGAGCACTGCGCTCTAACCACCTAAGCTAACTGGCCGCCCTAGAGCTTCCTCATTCATTTTTGATGCTGAGCAGAATTCCATTGTTTGGGCCTTTGAGAATTCATCTGATTAGTTCCTACTGAAGAAAAGGTTAGGTGCCCCCCACCTTTGGTTCTCCATGAGTAACGGGGTAAACACACTGTTTTGCTCAGGAGTGAGTATCTGAAGGCTGCTTCCCTTTGGGAGGGTTTCTGGGCGATAGGGTGAGTCATCTGTGCCCAATGCCCTCCACGGCAGCTGCACCCATTTGCCCTCCCACCAAGCAATGCATTAAAGATCACTCCCCACCTTCTTACCAACAGTCTTTTAGACAACTTATTTATTTTTGACCCTCCAGTAAGAACAACAACAACAAAAATGATCTGGCAATGGAGTTTTAATTTGCATTTCTTTTAGTACGAGTGAACATTTTTTTCAGAGAGTTAAAAGCCATCTGTGTTTCCCTTTTCTGTGAACTGTGTTTTCATACCCTTCGCCCGTTTTCTTGTTTGGTGCTGATCTTTTCCATTGATTTCCATATTAGGGAAATAAGCTTTCTGTCCGTCGCACGAGGTACTATCATGTTTCCCCAGATTGTCACCGGCTTTACTGATAGCGGCCTGAGGCATGCAGACCTCTTCATATTTATGTCGTTTTGTTCATTTCTTCGATGGCTACTAGGTTCTTTGTGATGCGTAGGCCTCTGCCGCTCTGAAATTACATTTTTAAAGCTTTCTTCTATGTGTTCTCCCTGTAGGGTTATGGCTTAATTTTTTACATTTGGTTATTTGATACCTCTCATCTTACCGCTTTGTACAAGGTGAGGTACAGATCTTACTTTATTGTTTTCCAAATAGCTACCCAGTGACTAACACCATTTACCCTAATACTGTATTTTCTGTCCCCAGCTGAAAAGCTACCTTTATTTCATACTAAAAGGACAGCTATATTGAAAGTTGCTCCTGAACTGGGCGGCATTCCTGGCATTTTCCCTTTTCAGTCCCAGCGTCCAGGTACCTCCGGGTGCTGCGATCTCTCCCTCTATTATTTCTTGAACTTACCTCCTTCACTCACTTTCCACGTCACAGCTTTGGCTCAGAACTCAGCGTTTCTCCCCAGGAATGTACAGTATGTAAGTGTCAGGGTTGGGGGATCCTGTTAATGGGACCCTGTTTCCCCTGGAATAAGGCCACCTCTCATTCAGGGCTCGTCCCTGTCCACGTTCCCCGCTGCATCTCTTGGTTGCCTCTCCCACCTCCAAGCCAGAGCCCTAAAAGGTCTTCAAATGCCACACTTAATATGTCCTTGTACCTGACATTCCCTCAACCCAGAAGTCCCCATCCTCCATTACTGCCTGACCAGATCCCATTTTTCCTCCCAGATTCAGTATTAGGTGTTCCCCCTGGGGCCCCAGAACCCTCCGCTCACCTCCCCACTCCTTGTTCCAGCCCCTATCCTTATCGTGGAAGGGTAGGAGCAGAGATCCCAACCACAGCCTGCCCGTCAGCCTTCAGGAACGCACACGAACTGCACAGGACAAGCCAAGGTGTGGACATGCCTTTGCTTTAGCCAGACAGGCAGGGAGCACAGGGCGGCTTCTCCACTCCATCCAGTGCATCCCCCCATCTCTTCCACTGGGTGGCTCTTGGGTTTTGACTCTCAATGTCCCCTCCCTCTTCCATGGGCCCTCCAGGTCATTTTACCCCTTCTCCCCGTCTTTCTCCTTATGCCCTGGTCATGGGTGTCAGTCCTCTCTGGCTCTGCCCTCTCCAATGTTGGGTGGGCCAGAGGTTTCTGATGCTGAGCAAAGAGGGGAAGAAACCTTCAACGGGGCTTGGTTGGGGGATGGGGAGGATGGCCTCCGACCTGCAAATCCCCTATGTCACGTTAGGCTGCATGCACTATTCATCATTCAGCACATATTTAACAAGCTGGTCCTGGGTGCTAGGCCCTGGGGAAATGGTGGGGGGCCAAGCGATGGACTAAGCGAAGTTCCTGCCCCCAGAAAGCTCACATCTCAGCAGGGACACAAATAATAAACAAGAGAATAAATAGAATAATAATACAGGTGGTGCAAAGTGCCATGAAAAAATAACAAAGGAGGCTGAGAGAAGAGAACAATGGAGAAGAGAAGAGGCAAACTTGATAAGAAACTAGGCTGCACTCTGCAAAGATGGGAAGAGCACTGCAGGTGGAGGGTCCCGCCAAGGGCAAAGGTGGGAAGGAGTTCAGAGTGCTTTCAGGAGCAGCAAAAGGCCCATGGGGTTTGAACGATGTGCCCAAGGCAGAGTGGCCAAGAGGGCCTGGAGGCACCAGAAAGACTTTGCATTCATCTGTGAGCTGGGAAACCACTAGATCCAAATCTAGAGGGTGCCCTCTGATGGCCATGTGAAGAATAATAGACCGCAGTGGGACAAGGGCAGAAGCTGGGAAACCCTGTGTCCAAGGAGAAGGGACCAGAGAGGTGGTGGTGGAGGATGTGAGAAGTGGCTGGACCCAGGATATATTTTGTAGAGTCTGCAGGATTTGCTGGTGGAGTCAAATATAGTACAGTTTCATTCGTATCAACTTGGCAGATAGCAGGAAGTGGGTGACTGCAGGAGGAAAGGGCTTGCACAGTTGGAAATTGAGGCTTCCGTTCTGAAGATTTTCTGTTGAGAAGCCTGTTGGACATGGGGATGTCAAGTGTGCGCCCTCAGCCTCACCTCTTGCCCAGCTGCACTGCACTCACTTTGGCCCTGTGCTCAGGCCCCCCCATCCCCTCCCTCACTCTGTAACCCCAGCCAGCAGCCCATTCTCAGATCACTCTTCCTGCACAGGTTAATCAAAGCACTCTTAATTCCTTTCTTCCTTGGGACCTAGACCTCCAGACCCACCCTGTCCACCTCTGTGAACTCCACCTTCAGCTCAGCAAGAACTGAGCTCTCAGCCATCCCCTTACTGAACCCTAGAGGGCGCTTTTTTCAGTCTCTTCCCCTGGGCCATCACCATTCTGAACCACTAACCCTGTCCTTCAGGAGATGACCTTAACTTCCATTCCACCCAACCCTGGCGAGAGATGGCTCAGGTCCTCCTCCAACTTCTTTCCTCTCCCTCTCAGGGGTCCTGTGCTCAACTGTGTGTTCACATCCCGCCTCCTCCACTAGTTGGCCGTGTGGCCTCAGCGAGCAGCTTCACCTTCTCACTGGAGAGCGGTGAGCACGAGGCGAGTGATATGTACAACGAACCTAGAATGTGACCGGCAAGAGCCAAACACTCGGTAATGTCGGGGTTCCTGTGGCCATGGGGCTGACTTTTCCCTTTACCTCTTCTGCCCTGCTCCCCTTCTCTAGCACTTTGTTCTGCTTTCTCAGGCATCTTCTTTCTCACATTGACGCCTTCCCACATCGAGTCTCTCCCATCTTACAAAGAAACAGGCTGGAGCTTGGTCTCTGCGTTACCCCAGTGCCACTCACCCACCCTCCCCTTCCAGCCCGTGCCCTCTCCTCATCCTCACCTCCCAGGAAAACTCTCACCTGCGGCAATCTGGCTTCCTTCATGGCAAGACCAGAGCCAGACATTAGTACACAAAGACGGGGCATCCAGGGACTGGGCCAAGAAGGGGCGGGGACCAGGGACCCCAGCGAACCGAGGACACATTTGGGAGTTAAATCTGTATAATCTAGTTCTGGGGCTCAGCCCACTTCTGTGGATTAGGCCAAGTTCTTAGACGGTGTCAATAAGGCTCCAAAATTGATGGCCCCTCACCACCACTCCACTGAAACCACTCTCTCAAAGGTCACTTGTGGCTTCCACAAGATGGCCCTAAATCTGAAGGCCATCTTGATCCTGGGTCAGGCATGCTTCAGTGTAGGAACTATTAACAACCACTCTAGGTACCTTAAGCAGAAAGGGATTTAACATGGGAAATTAGGCGCTTACAAAACCCTAGGAAGTGGGCCCTGAGTGAGTGGGTCCCCAGAACACCGCAGAACTGACCGAGGGCCACAGGCAGAACGATGAAGAGTCGGGGGCCAGCCCCAAACACACCACTGTGGCTGCCACCAGGGCTCAGGAAGCTACAGTCACCACCGCGCCTGTCCCTCACCCCTCGAAGAGCAGGTGCCTGGACACTATGACACAGAGTCCAGCCACTGCGTCCTCTGCTGCAGCTGCTCTCGACACCCACACCTGCCAGGAGCAGCAAGAAGACAGCCACCTTCCAAACCTCACGCGAGCAGCTCTCACAGGCAGAATCCAATTTGCATCCAGAACCAGGTGTGGGAGAAATGGTGTTCTTAACTTTCCAGGCTCCACTGCCCAGCAGAGGGAGGATGGAATGGAAGCTGAGTGAACTGACCCACAGCTCCATCACAGGTCCATTCTCCCAGCCTCTCTGCGTCACTCACCTGGTGGCCTCTACTCTCCTTTCAAGTGCTTTTTAAACATGCCTCTTGCATTGGTGTGGGCTCCTTTGCCTGGCTCTGTGTCTCAGCGGATTCCACTCCACTGCAGGTAAGAGAAACCCAGAAGCAGGGGCTTTAACAGGCAGGGGGTTGCTGCCTCGTTCAGCAAGATGTCGGGAGGAGGCTGACGTCACTCCACCCTGTGGAGAGGCAGTGACGTGGAAAGATGGACATGGCCGGCCTGGTGACTCAGGCTCATCGGACCTCCATCCCTACCACTCATAGACCATGGGACCTTGGACAAAACACTTTACCTTCTGGGCCTCAGTTCTTCGTATCTATGTCACTGAATGTGTGGAGATTAGAGCTCAGTAAATATTTTTTAAACGATGTGTTCAAATATTATATGAATAACTTTTAAATGTGGAACCGTATCAAATGAAAAGTATGGATGCTGAGTGGTCATCATTGGTCGCCCTGGATGGGCAGCCAAGATGCAAACTCAGGCCATCCAAGTGCAGAATGCAAGTTCAAGATGGACTGGTGGGGGTGTGGGGGAGGGAGATCGATGGGAGAATGGAGAAAGGGAGGTCAAAATGGTGGACAGATGAACAGTCACTGGATGGAGCCAGGAGGGTTCCTTGAGAGGCTCTCCCCGGTCCTCCCGCTGCAGCCCGGCCACTCCCCACCTTCTCCCCAAACGGGGCTGGGCTAGGGTGAGGCAAGCGAGGCACACGCCTCACTCACCTCTGGTACAGAATCTAAGGGGAAGCCCAAATTTCACTAATTAAGACAAATAACGCTTTGTGTGATATCTTTATAAATCAAAATTAATGCAAAATACCATGATGGACAAAATATCAAAAATAAAGTTAGATTCATTTATTTAAATGTAAATAAAGATCAGATCTAATCCAGCACTTGCATGACCTCATCCGCCTCACCCTGGTGGAGGCCCCGCCTACCCCACCCGTCACCCCGCCCGACCACTTCATCACCACCCCACCCCCACCCTGAGAGTCAAGGAGGATGTGATGGAGCAAGAAATAGAGGACAGGAAGACAGAGCTGCCACACTCTCCCCAGCACCCAGCCCTGGCCTTGGCTACCATCACCGCCCACAGGCTCCTTGGTGTCTGGCTGAAGGGCCCTCTGAGTTCCCCAGCACACAGGGAAGCCTCAAGTTGTGGCTTCTCTAAGTGACGTCCCCTCAGGCCACCACAGGGCGGAGCCCAAGGGCTGCTTTGGATTCTGTGGAAACTCAGGAAGCGGGTGAGAGAAGGAGCCAGGCACTCCTGGGCCTCCCTGTCTTATCCAGATGAAGCCG